TTGGTCACCGATACACCACTTTTTAATCGGGAAACGAAATACGATTGAAAAAAATTACGCTTGCCGAGTTAAAAGTTACATTTTTATTAGCATCAAAGAAATCGATTTATTTAAATACCTACTTTTATTTAAAAAGTAAAAAATTAATATCCGGAAATGAATCTGTCTATAAAAAGAGAAAGAGAGAGAGAGAGAGGAGAAAAAGAGAGAATTTAATATTTTATAACAAAAATTTAAATAAAACGGTTTTTGTATTTATCGAGTTCGAATATACAATGCCGCCGTTTAATTAATCTCTCTTTCGTAATCTTTAATTCCAGTTCTCGAGGCGAAAGAAGAAAGAAAGATTAGTAAAGAACTCGAAATTCCATTACGAAAATAAGAAGAGGAAGCGGACGGATAAAAATCGCAAAATGGACGAAAATCAACAGCGGGGACCGATATTGCGGTCGCTCAACAGTCAGCACGAATCCTTCGTCAGATTTATTAACACGACACCCCACGTTATTACTTTATACTGGATGGATTATCAGGGACAAGCAGTTAATTATGGCGATCTAGCAGCCGGAGGCTCTAGAGAAATGAACACGTTTCATACGCATCCATGGATTTTCATCAATAAAGAAACAGGCGTCAGGTATGTGTAAAGAGAATAATCATTGTCTTACCATTGATTATACCAACGATATCGGTCGCAATAAATCATGGGTAACTGCAATTTATCGTATAGCGTCAGTGGACAAAGATACGAAATCCACCACTTTCACCACGTAGCAAGCAAAAGTTTATATTTCCGCAATTTAAAATATTAGCCAAGAAATTGATACAATATTATCCACATTTTTATTTAACTTATTTTACACGTATATCTAATTGCTAATTGCAAAAATTATTTTGTCGATAAAATTTCAATTTTTCGTGAGTTAATTCCTTTGCATTTCCAACTAAACTAAAATTCGTTTATCCACAAATTATGACGTATTTTCTTTGTAAAAATATCAATTTAGAGTAGACGAATTAGTAATGATGAAACGAAACAGGTACATGGTGGATCAACGTGACGTTTACTTTCCCGCTCCGTGGTTTCTCAAGTACGAGGATAGGCCGAGAGATTTACCGCGACGAATCGAAAGGACCAATGTGTATATCAGACTGCCGATGTTCACTCTTCAAGAATTATCGTTGAGAGTAATCAAAAACTGTCTTACGTATGACTCGCACGCTTTTCTCCTCGACATTCCACGGAGCCTCCAGATAGAACTTTATTCGATGCTACCGAGGAAGCCCCGACATTCACGTGCTCTCTCGTAGCATGCTGTCACATTCACGCGATAATATAATAGTGCAAAATTAAAATAATAACAAAAATAAAAACTAGAACATTTGTAAATATAAAGGAAATATTTTACGGGTTTATATCATCTTTTTGTACAGATAAGAATAAGTCGTATGGCTTTTTTTATAAACACGCATATAGCTGTAACTCACATAATATATATAATTAATATCTTATTTAATATCATTATTATATACAAAATATATACAACTCGTAACAATATACTGTAGATCAATTAATATTTTATGTTCGATAAAACAGAATTATATATTTTTTTAATGAATTGCATTAAATAACTCCATGTCAATTTAATGGGATTAATTGGAATACATTAAAGTATTTAAATTTATAATTATGATTGTTGCAAAAATATTCCAAAGAAGAAGAATTGCGAAAAGGGTATTAAGTTTTAATAAAGATCTCTCTCTCTAATTTAAAATTTGTTTATATGCTGAAATATATCTTTCTTTTCTCATTTAAGAATATAATACATCTATTTTTATTTGGAATGAAAAAAATATTTTTGTCACTATTTTTTAATTACATTTTTATCATACTTCTACCTATTTATTTAAGTAATTTTTGAATCAGATTTTAAACTAGTAGTCAACTTTTTTTGTATTATTTTTAAATACGATTTAGAATAACGTGTAAGTTTTTCATAATTTTTTCATTATAAATAAGAATTATAAAAATAGGTGTAGTATACATTCCTTAAGAAATACTTTAAAGAACCGAGATTTGAGACTTTATGCAAACTTGCCATGCTCATCGTACACATTCATTTCAGGAATAAATAAGCGAATAAATTATTTTATTTTTATTTTGTATACAGAAGCATGAAAACTTTGTACAACTGAGAATATGAAAACTTTCGGCTATATATATAGTAATATATCCATATCATTGTTTAATGACAAATAAATTTTATAACAAATAAACAAAATTTTATAACAAATTTTCTTAATGTTCTGTCCATCTATAACGATTTCGATTAGATATGCCGCTCAGAAAGTTTCAGGAAAATCGTCGATAGTAATCCGAGCTCGTTTCCGCAATTTGTTAGCAGAGTTCCGAAGGTATTAACCGGCTCCTCTTCTGTGCCTCATCCTTTTCGCTCCTTTCACGTTCCTCTCGTTTTCCACGTGAGCTCGATAGATATTCCGAAAACTTTCCTTCGTTAATTAACAGTTAGCTAAGTGTCGAGCACGCTCAAAAGTGAAATGTATAAATGACGCGTCGCCGAAATGTAATTTTTATCAAATATGTTAAAACTATTGTAGTAAATATATACATCTACACATATATATAT